AGCATATAATTAACAGCATTTCCTTAGTAAATATACCTAAAGAGATTCTAGAAATCCAGACAGAAAGAAAAAAAGAATTCACCCCTCCTGTGGGGGAGGGAGGAGTGGGGCCTTTCGTTCAGCTGCTCCACGTGGCTAATTAGCATAAGAGAAGGTCAGGGCTGTGGCAGCGGTGGGACGTTCAGGGCACCACCACAGCACCCTCTGCCATGAGAGCTGGCGCACTGCCAGTCACACACATGCTATTAGAGGACAGAAACCTAATATATACGTGTGCCTGTGAGGCCAACAACTTGTAAATGCTTCTTTTCGCTCACAAGGCTAAAGTGAGATGAAGTCTAGAAGGACAGGATCTTAACTACGCTGACATTTGCCAGAGTTCAGAAACTGATTCCCTCTCTCTCTCTCTCTCTCCCTCTCTCTCTCTTTCTCTGGTGAACTCACCCAGGCCCATTCCTCAGAAGTCAGCAGCCTTCCATGTGACTCACTTCAAATATCGCCTACATTTCTACATCTGAGACTGTCCTATTCTCTCTCTGCCACTGTTCACACAGAGAGGAACACAGCTAAGTCTCCATGCAATTTTATCCAAATCACGACCTATTCATTTAGAATAAACAAATGAAGGTTTAATACAATTTTTTGAAAAACTTTTTTTTTTGCTGTTGTGTGTAACTGTGCCAAATGAATAGTTGATTTGGCTGATGCTAAACAGAGGTAACAGTTACAGTATTTGCAGTTTGTTTGCTGTTTTCTTTGTGTTTAATGGAGACGTGGCTATGATGGATGGAAAGTGTTGGCAATCGTTAAAAGCTGTGTCTACAGCTGTTTCTAACCCCCCGACCAGACTTGTGACTAATTCTAGAACACAGGTCTAGTTTTCATTCACAGTCGCCGTGAGGAGAAGCCACCTCTTGTGAAATAGACTAAGCATGGCTAAAAAAATGAAACTGAAATGATGATCAAATCAAATTATATGCTTTGGTTTGGATTTTTCTGCTCCCACCTGACACTGGCAATGTGGATGAGACAGAGCAGAGAAACGGGTGACAGCAAATCAACGCCCGCTCGCAGTAATTAAATCCTTTCTTCAGGGTGTTTACACATCAACCTCTGACTCCAGGGGAAGCCATGAGTGCACAGTGAGGCCTGATGAAAAAAACTACAATTATTGGCCAGCTAATAAAACACAGGCTTAAGCCCAAGGATGCAACTGGACAGTTTTTTAAATCTTATTATATTTCAGAATCAGAATTAATTAGCATTTTATGTAAACCTGGTGCAGCAGACCAAGGATAACTCTGGCATGCCAATTACCTAAACAGGCTCTGGGTTTCATCCAAGGAAGATGAAAAACGCTGTGCGGGGCGCTTATCGGACTCAACACAGCAAATTAAAATTTCACTCTAATGTTGCTAATCAGCACTGCGCTGGCTGACCAAGACAGAGATGTAAACAAAACGACATAAACAAACGACTGACAGAAAGGGGTGGGGAGCAGGAGAGAGGCACACTGTGATAGGGGCAGTGTTGAGGGTGGACTGTTTAAGTGCTGACAAAGGGGCTTTAACTGGATCCTGACTGTACACACACACACAAACAAACAGAGAGACAGAGAAAGGAGACTCACACTCAGGTATACTAATTTTAAACACCCACCCAGAAAAAAAAGAAGCACTTAAACACCCACCTGCATGCCCATTTCCTGACCAGGCCCCATGGGCTGTCTGTCCGATGCAGAACATGTAACATAACTTAAATTCCAGCAGCCACAGTCAGGCCCATCACCAATGCAAAGGCTCTCTGAGATAGCCGCATAATACAATGTGACATTGATGCATTGCTCCCATTATAAAGTCTTTGTTCATATCACACTAATAATTCATAATAGAGAAATGTAAACAGCATGCACTGGAGAGCACTGCGAGCAGGGATCACTTCAAGGTAAGCACATTACCAAGGATGGGACTGGGACTGGTCTGGTCTTTGATATGTAGAACTACCAAGCTTCAATTCTAATTATTAAAAAAAAAAAAGAAGGAAAGAAAAAGCAAATGCAAAACACATAATAGTAAAAAAAGTACTGCAAATGGTAGATATCCATTCATTTTATAAGGTCAGATTTTAAATGAGTTGCTGCAGTACTTATCTAAGCAACAATACTATTTCCAACTTGCCTGGCCCTCATCATTATCTACTAATTACTTTTATTGTTCTCTTTGTGTGCTGTTTGTGTTCTGATTAACGAATAACAGACAGCTCCTTGTTACACATATATGATGAGATAGAAAAAGATATTTCATTTATGATGTAAACTTAAATACACGTCGGAGGATAGTGCAGTACTTATTATTGGTACATACATGGTGGATTTGAAGCAGCTGACATGCAGACAAACATTCAGGCAGAAGGTCATAAACTGAACATTCAACATTGTTCTGTTTTCCGTCAATCAAATAGGCCACGGTAATTTGAAAAACTAGGACAATGTCATTTTGATCAGAGAAGCATGTGTGTGCACACATACACGCCATCCCCACATGCACATAGAGGTGGGGCTTTTTCTTCAGGTTGGGGAGTGTGAGTGGGGGAGACAGCAGTGCAAATGAGGTGCACTCGTTTTGCTCACAGCTTGCTCCTGAAAACAGGCAGTGGGGAGGGAAATTGAATTAGAAAGAGGGAAAACTGTGCCAACAGGTGACAGAGGCATGATTCGACCAAATGCACTCTAAAGTGAAGCACAGTCATATCACGGGGCCAATTTGGAGGCAGTATTATGCACTACACTGCTCGCCTTTCTCACACAGCCTGTCACTGCACAGGAGAGCAGTACTGCTGCTCCGAATATGAATTAAACATAGGGCTTTTGTAGCATGAACACCGCTACTGAAATGTTGGTGGAGTTTAAAAAAAGCTCAGTAGCACATGCACTCACTCCTCAAGTGGAAAACTGAAAAAAGGAAAAGAAAACATTTGCAGTATAAAATGTTAAATGTAAGCTGTTTGATGGTACTGTTCATTCTAAAAACTTGGGTACGACTGATATGCTACCCATGTGTCATTAGAAATACATAATGTGTATATATTTTACACGCACATAGTAACAAGTGAAATTACTGTAGGTTTCTGGTAACCATCTTATCAGCGCATAATTTGCTACAATCAGTATCACAGCAAACCCTCCTACGCTAAACATTCATTTAATTTCCCCAGCATCCCATGCATACTGCCTTTGACTGAAACAATGTAGCCTAATGAACTGCTTTTGTTTTGTGAGAAAAGAAGCAGACAGTTATGCTCAACCACTTTGCCCTCCAGTCATCCAGATGTGCCATCCAGCAGTGTGCATAATTCAGCGCATCAAAAACAAATGGCATAATAATGACTCTTCTGGAGGAACACTGTGATGTTTTGGTTCAAAGTTCTGAAGTGGCAGCTACTCTCCCCTGGATGCAGGTCTGCATGCTGTTGACACCAGAAGTGTTTCAGCACAGGGCTCAGGGACACCCAGTGATCCTTGAATGCAGTCCCCACAAACAGAACGAGGAATAGTTGAATAATTAATAACATGTAGCCTACTTCCTCCACTGTTACCACTAAGGTGCCCTTGAGCAAGGCATTCAGTCCACAGCTGCAGCAGTAGACCACCCAACAGTCAGCTTCTGAAGCTATATTGCAAAACGGTGGTGGTGAATTAAAGTGTTTCCAGATTTATAAATATAATTTTTCCTTATATTTCAGAATGTTACTATACAACGTGTTTTGTAATGCAATAACATCCCTTGTAAAAGCTCAACGTTTTGGACAATTGCGCTAAAATTCTGTGGGATATTAAACATGTGCGTCAGACAGAGCAAGCAAACAGAACATTTCTCAATGATTTAAACACTCGCTCTATATGAAATACAGCGTCCAGTCTTTCTTTGTATTATTTTGGCCTGACATTGCAGTGTTTTGTATGTCTGTTCAGTATGGGGAAATGATGAGAATAATCATCATAAGCAGCCTAAACCTTCATAAAGCCTCTATTGTTTTTGGACGGCCTCCAAGTCTGGAGCATTCCCATAAGACATGAATGCAGCATCACTACAGCGCCATGGCCAAAAATCACTGGTAAGAATCCTCCTTGTTTTTCCTTAGTCGGTGCAGTCTGCCCAGCGGGGCCATGGGGAGCCAATCAAATGGCAGACTGGGTGTCAACTGTGAGCCACGAGTACGGCGAGCTTTTTAGCCAGTTTACCTCACTGTTCGCATTCTTGAATGGGAATAAACGAGGCGCACAGAAGCGCTCCAGCTCGATAAGGAGCGCACAGAGACGGATAGGCGGTCTGTCCATGGCCGCGGTACCCGTATGACTTTTCAGATCAATTATTACAGGATGAGAAATATTAGAGAAGGCTGTGGCGTTTGTTCGGAGTAATTCTGTAGATTTTCTATAGGGGTGTTTTATTTCGACTATCGCCTCGAACACAACACGTCCTCTAAAGGGCGTTTCGCAACGTGTCTGACACCACGTCGGCAGAATCTGCCCAACATGAACTGCTGTTTATAGTCTACTGGATAAAACTAAAAATGAAATGATGACAATGTACATCTGGAATACGAACTGCTGAAATGTGGAGGAGGAGATGCATCCTGTTGATTATTAGAAGCTAATTTAATTGATGAAGGTGCTGCTTATAAATAAATATGGGTTTATTCTCCTTTTCCGTCCTATTAAAGCTCATGTAGAACTTATATTTAACGCATTTAAACACGTAAAAACTATGTGCATGTAATTGCTTTTCTAATGCATTACAAATGAACCTTTTTTCGTATAATTCACGTACACAGTTCAACAGTCTCGTCCAGACTCACCCCTTGGCCGAAGCACACAGAGTGTATCTGAGACCGGCACACACACACACAACACCTGCTAATTATGAGTGACACACCAGCACTGAGAAAGTCAAGTTCATTGATAAACACCGGAGGCCCTGACTGAAGTTTCCAAAACTTACCTGCGTCCTGCTGAGGCCTTGCCCTGCGTTGCCTGGACTCACTGAATGAGGGTGGTTTCTCTGCTGTCCTCCCCAGCCGTGTGCCGAGGTGGCTCCATACTGGGGCCCCACGTCTTTCCCCAGGCCCATCCCGGCTTGCTGCTGCGCCGTGGGGCCGCTGTAGTCTTGATACGCACCACCATAACCCCGCATCATTGGGCTGGGGGATGTCAGCAGCTGGTTGAGGGTCGGAGTGGCCCCTGAGGGATGCTGCTGCTGAGTCTGTCCGGGGAACCTCTGAAAGCCACCCGAACCAGCTCCCAGAGGGGACTTGACGTGGCTTGCTGAGGAGTTGTTGCCCATCATCATGTTCCCAGGTTGTCGGTATCCAGAGGGGCCCATCATCCCGTAGGCCCCGCCGCTGTAGCCCGCACGGTACGCTGGGTACTGGTTGTACTGGCTGTTGTGGTACTCTGCTTCGTGAGAGTTCTCCATGCTGTTATGTGCCGATGAGTGTGTTATCCCCATCCCACTGCTTTGTTGCTGCTGTCCGCCATGTTGCTCATAACAGGGCCTTGGAGTGTAATAGTTATTAAACTCAGAGTTGTTACCTGTTGGGCCCAGGTTAGAGTGTTCATACCTGGTACCCATCATTCTCTCCGCGGGTTTACAGGTGAGGTCCCCCTCACTTTTCCCTGGCAAGTGCTGCTGCTGAGGCTCCCCCTGCCCCCCCAGCAGGTTCTCTTTGCCACTATGGTGTTGGTGATCCATACCTCTGTCCCCACGGGGCCCCTGGCCGTTGTTATTGCTGCTGCTGAGGCTCCCCATGCCCCCCCAGCAGGTTCTCTTTGCCACTATGGTGTTGGTGATCCATACCTCTGTCCCCACGGGGCCCCTGGCCGTTGTTATTTGCGGTGTTGTTACTTTGGATCTGCCCCTGCTGATGAGGCGCAAATTGGCCGAACTGCGCTGGCTGTAGCGGCGGTTGAGACTGAGGGGGATCTCCGCTTCCCACACATTTCAGCTTGTGGTTCGCAATCAAACCAGTTTCCATCGAGGAAGTGCTTGAATTAGTCGACGCCGAGGCGGACGTGAGATGATTCCCATCCTTGTCATGGCCGTCCGGACCGTTATGACTCGTGGAAGTTGAATGGACCATATTGAGCTCGTTTCCGCGGTGATGGTCTACATTATTAAGAGTCCCATCTCCGGCACCCAGCATCGGTCCAGTTCGCTGTACGGTCCCTCCTCCTCCGGATTTCCCCGAATTGAGCTCCGGACCCAAACCGCTGGATAGTGCCTTGTTTTTGTTATTAGTTCTGGTCGGAGCCGATGCCACTTGCGCAGCCATCGTCACTCCAACATCTCAGCGCGCAGTGACAGCAAGCCCCGACCAGCCTTGCATACAGAAAATAATACAAGAAGGGGAGAAAAACACAAGCTGGGAGGTGAAAAATGTATTCAGTGGAAAAGCAAGCCTTGTTATAGCTGCTGTGGTAGTGGTGAAATGGCGCGTCAGTGAGGCTTCATGTTGAAAGTTTCTCTGCCAGGTTTAAGCGAAACTTTTTTCTTCCCCCCTCCGCCTCTCCTCCATCCCGGTTCTCGGTAATATGTAGCAGCGTCTCCCGGAGCCCTTGTGGCCCAGCATGGCATGAGAGAAGCGGGCTCCACCAGATTATCCACCTCCAGGGCTCCGGCGCGCCTCACAAGGAAAATCCGGACTGGAGTAGGGAGCCATTACTCGGGCTGTATTTTGATGTTTCTGTGATCTAAGATGGTCTGCATGTTGATTTTACCACAAGAAAGAGCTAGAATGTTGTGGCAGTATTATGACGCGACATATATTGCCTTATTGTCATTATAATACCAAGATTTCATATAATGATTACAGATCAAACGCTTAAGGAACGGCTCCTTTTCTTGAATTTAAGATGATTTTTTTTTTAACAATCAAAAACCGGAGAAGTCATTAATCTCCGAAATACGCGCGTTCGTTACTTCTCCGTTCTGCATAAATCCTTCAAATAAACACAACGGAAGACGCCAACTTTGACAGAGCGAGTTTCTGTTATCCAATTATCCAGATCTGATTTTCCCTCTTCCCACCCTCTCTGTCCCTCGGCTCAAGCCAGTTCTCCTCAACTCTGAAAGGAGTCGGACACGCAACCACAAGATGTGCACAATCGGAATAAGAATGTTCATACTTTATAGCAGCTGGTCCGCTAATATCCGCACCACAACGTTCATCCTCTCTAGGTTCTCCAATCACTTCTTTTCAGACAGAAAGTGAGTGTTAAGAGCGAGACCATGGAAATATAAAACTATATGATATTCTACATAACTATTGTGTATGATAGCAGATTTTTTAAAACACGGATTTTACCCGGTGCAAGTCTCCATAGGAATGTTATATTACATGCAAATTTGAATAATTTCCTCCCTTGGATTTACTTTGTCAGAGACAAACTTGTCTGAAGTGACAATGACAACGAAATAAAAAGAATAAATAAATAAATAACCCAGGCTGCAGTGTTGGACCACACAAAACCAGTCTACAAGATATCCTTTCCCATCAGTGGTATTCAAGCATAAATGTAAAATAGCTTAGTAAAGAAGCCAGGGTGTCTGTTTGGTCTTGAATGAGCAGAGGGTCCGCTTTGATGAGATCAGATGCATTTGATCAACAGAGGGAGCTGCAGATGAAAGAGGAGTGGGGGGGAGGGTGAAAGGGGAGGTGGGAAGAGAAGGATATGGGGGATGAGAGTTGTGCTGAGGATGGCCACGATAATGGGTATGGTGTGAACACATGTGAGGAAGATGATCTGCCATCAGTGGATGTAATAATGACCACAGTAATATTGATGACTACAGGGGCATTGCTGACCACATGTTTCTAATGCCTAAGTGGTGCTTTGGGTCACACATGTTAACAAAAAGAGGAGATACATTCACTCAACCTTATAGTGCAGTATAATTCATAGTGAAGTCATGTCTGTGACAATGGGAAGACCCCTGCTGGAGACATGGTGTTAGTACAAGTCAGAGCTTAGAAAACTATATGCATATACAAGCAGAAATACACCTTGTGTGGCAGCAGGACAATACAAAAAAAGAAATTACAAATCCATATCATTACATGGCAGTGAGAGGCATAATCCAACTTCTTCAAATGGAAGCTCATTCACTGGAGACAAATAAAAGCGAGTCACATCTATGGAAACCTTTCCTAGCCGTTTGCCTTTATGAGCCCATATGGCAGAGAATACAAGCTATAATGTTGTTATGGTCCAATTACAAAGTTTCCATGGTGTTCACCATTCAGTATGCTCTGGCCCAGCCTATAGCAATCACATGACCAGATAGCTATAGGATACCCTGAGAAGACATCACATTTACATTCTTCTGAGTTTGTCAGTGAGAGGAATTCTGTTGTTGTGTATAGGAGCACAGACAAACCTTTATCCCCTGACTGTCATCATCACTAGTTACATGTGCCTTTTCTGACTAGAGCAAGCCTCATCCACAGTGCTCCTGCTCTCTGTACTTTGTGCACATGACAATTCTGGCTCCCATCAGCGTTCCAGATCAAAGCTTCAGCTCTGATCTCATCTAGAGCAAAACTAAGGCTGACAGTGAAGGGGCCTGGTGCATTAGCATATTCTATGATGGCGCCCGGCTTTTCAAGCCGTTGCCTCGGCTGCAGCTCTGGGTGTACCTCGCTGTGGCTTTGCAACTAATTTCCCTTTCTCGCTCATTAAAAAAGCCCACTGTTCTCCTATTAATTCGCAGACACACTGATCTGTTTGAATGGTGAGGATGGGTGTGTGCGCGGGAGGAGAGGTGGAGGAGGGCAATGGCTCAGCGCATTTGCATTTATGTTTAATTTATAACCTTCAGGGTCTCCCTGATGCAGCAAGATTGAAACAATAACTCCAGACAAACATGGAGAAGAGTGGAGGAGGAGCCGGAGGAGGGCAGATGGAATTAAAAATATACAGCTCTGGCATGGTATGCACTTTGAATATGTGTGTGAGAGTGTTTGTGTTGGTAAGGATGCTGTTACTGCCTGTGCACCCATGTGCATACTTTTTGTGAGTATTCATTTGTGCATCTGCATCAAGGTGTATCTAAAAGGCACACACACACACACACACACACACACACACACTGACAGAGAGGCAAAGGTCTTCAATCTGCAGGGGGATAATATGCCACGGTAAGTGTCTGTCAGGAGGAGAGCTGGAGACTGTTCTGTGGGAGTCTGCAGGGATCTCCCCCTGGCAGCACAGCACAGCAGACATGCAGCACAAGCCTGGCCAAGCACAGTAAGTGGGTCAGCCCAAAACATACAAAAACACACACATTCACACACAGATACACACATGGCTCAGACAGATGCAGCCCTGCCACACTGTGGGTGTGTTTGAAAGAAAAGACAGAAGGAGTGTGCAGACAGAGAGAATGCATAGAATATGGTTTGAGTGTACACAAAACTATGGTAGTGTATTTTACAATAGTGAATTGGTGGTGGGGAGTGGGGGGCTTATTTAAGATGATGGGTGGGTAGCTAAGAAGCAGAAGAAGGGGCTTGTATCTCAGACAAAAAAACAGCCTTTATGAACACACCCTATGGAAGTGCATCAAATTGATCCATAGTCTTTTCATTTCAGGCTTGGGTAAATAACAGCATTTGCATTGATCAGCCTGCAAAACCAGGCAACAATGGGCTTCAAAGCATATGGTATATATATGTTTGTGTGCCAGTGTTCATGTGGCTGCTAACAAATCACATCTCTTATTCCTTTCTGCTCCTTGAAGAGTCAAGGGCCTCACCAGAGCTCTACAAATGGCTATGATGGATAAAATGTTTTGAACAACACTTGAGAAGAGTGGATGCTATTGTGTTTGCCTGTAAACTGATGCACAGAATCATAGAATTCCCAGGACGCTGCATGCTCTATTTATGTATTATGAAAAACATGACTCAAAAGAAAACAGAAAACAGCTATGCTCTACTTTCACTGTCAAATATCATGTGAAGAGTGAAGAGGAGGAAGAGCATGAGAGTGAAATCCAGCCAGGAGAGGAGAGGAGAGGAGAGTGATTTTCTTCATCCACAGATCCTGTCCTAATGGTGACAGGGGACTGGGCTCTCAGAAACCCCCCACCCCCCATATCTTCATCCTCTCCTCCCACTCTGATGCCTGTCACTGCTCCTGTTTTTCTCTCCCTCCCCTTCTCCTGACTGGAAAAGTGTATGAAGTGTCCCCCGAGAGGCGCCGACTCAAAGGCAGTATTTACAAGATCCACACTGAGCCCACTTTTAACTGCCTGTGAAGAACTTCTCCCACCGCTTTTGATGTGCCAACCTAATGGGGAAGAGCTCGCCGGGAGTCATTGCATATGTTAGCGAGGCAACATGAGCTAATCCGCTAGCATTGCAAGATAGCCTTCATGCTGCTTGCAGTAAATGAACACTTCAAATTCTGAATTACTTTTGGTGTATTGCTGCCCACTGGCAAGCAGACGCTGATGTGACACATCAAATTTTACAGCAAATTGGGGACAGCAGCAGCTGTCTTGTCCCCAAAACAGCCGACCTGAGCTGTCCCTCTGATGTGCTCATTCCTAATCCTGTCCATCCTGGTCCCTCCTAAAGAGAACCTCAACATCCTCATCTCTGCTACCTCCATCTCTGCCTCTTGTCTTTTCCTCACTGCTACAGTCTCTAACCCATACAGCATAGCTGGTCTCACTACTGTCTTGTACACCTTTCCTTGGATTCTTGCTGACACTATTCTGTCACACAACACTCCTGACACCTTTCTCCACCCACTCCAACCCGCCTGCACTCGCCTCTTCCCCTCTTTCCTACACTCCCCATCACACTGGACTGTTGACCCCAAATACTTAAACTCCTGCACCTTCTTGACCTCAGCCCCCTGTAACCTCACTGTTCCACTTCCCTCCCTCTCGTTCATACACATTTATTCTGTCTTACCACGACTGACTTTCATGCCTCTTCTTTCCAGAGCAGACCTCCACCATTCCAGGTGTTCCTCCACCTGCTCTCTGCTCTCACTACAGATCACAATGTCCGCAAACATCATTGTCCACAAAGATTCCTGTCTGACCTCATCTGTCAACCTGTCCATCACCATAGCAAACAAGAAGGGACTCAAAGCCGATCCTTG